CATCGCCGCATTTCCTCCAATTGAATCACTCGTTGTTGCTGCTGCTGCTGCTGCCATTGGCGTAGTCTAAATTTCACGTACGAGATCCATCAGGTAAGAGGTAAAACAGAATGTAAGGTGACTTTTCCACAACCTTAGTAATGCATGAAATAATAATAGCTAGCAAAACTTACCTGTGTAGCTGATGTTGTATAATAAGCTGGCATCGAATAATAATTATATCCACTCATCACCGCATTTCCTCCAATTGAACCACTCGTTGTTGCTGCTGGCATAGTCTAAAATATTTCACGTACGAGATCCATCAGGTAAGAGGTAAAACAAAATGTAAGGTGACTTTTCCACAACCTTAGTAATGCATGAAATAATAATAGCAAACAAGACTTACCTGTGTAACTGATGTTGTATAATAAACTGGCATCGAATAATAATTATATCCACTCATCGTCGCATTTCCTCCAATTGAACCACTCGTTGTTGCTGCTGCTGCCATTGGCGTAGTCTAAAATATTTCACGTACGAGATCCATCAGGTAAGAGGTAAAACAAAATGTAAGGTGACTTTTCCACAACCTTAGTAATGCATGAAATAATAATAGCAAGCAAGACTTACCTGTGTAACTGATGTTGTATAATAAACTGGCATCGAATAATAATTATATCCACTCATCACCGCATTTCCTCCAATTGAATCACTCGCTGTTGCTGCTGGCATAGTCTAAAATATTTCACGTACGAGATCCATCAGGTAAGAGGTAAAACAAAATGTAAGGTGACTTTTCCACAACCTTAGTAATGCATGAAATAATAATAGCTAGCAAGACTTACCTGTGTTGTATAATAAGCTGGCATCGAATAATAATTATATCCACTCATCGCCGCATTTCCTCCAATTGAACCACTCGTTGTTGCTGCTGCTGCTGCCATTGGCGTAGTCTAAATTTCACGTACGAGATCCATCAGGTAAGAGGTAAAACAGAATGTAAGGTGACTTTTCCACAACCTTAGTAATGCATGAAATAATAATAGCAAGCAAGACTTACCTGTGTTGTATAATAAACTGGCATCGAATAATAATTATATCCACTCATCGCCGCATTTCCTCCAATTGAATCACTCGTTGCTGCTGCTGCTGCTGCATTGGCGTAGTCTAATATTTCACGTACGAGATCCATCAGGTAAGAGGTAAAACAGAATGTAAGGTGACTTTTCCACAACCTTAGTAATGCATGAAATAATAATAGCTAGCAAGACTTACCTGTGTTGTATAATAAGCTGGCATCGAATAATAATTATATCCACTCATCACCGCATTTCCTCCAATTGAATCACTCGCTGTTGCTGCTGGCATAGTCTAAAATATTTCACGTACGAGATCCATCAGGTAAGAGGTAAAACAGAATGTAAGGTGACTTTTCCACAACCTTAGTAATGCATGAAATAATAATAGCAAGCAAGACTTACCTGTGTAACTGATGTTGTATAATAAGCTGGCATCGAATAATAATTATATCCACTCATCGCCGCATTTCCTCCAATTGAACCACTCGTTGTTGCTGCTGCTGCTGCTGCCATTGGCGTAGTCTAAAATATTTCATGTACGAGATCCATCAGGTAAGAGGTAAAACAGAATGTAAGGTGACTTTTCCACAACCTTAGTAATGCATGAAATAATAATAGCAAGCAAGACTTACCTGTGTAACTGATGTTGTATAATAAGCTGGCATCGAATAATAATTATATCCACTCATCGCCGCATTTCCTCCAATTGAACCACTCGTTGTTGCTGCTGCTGCTGCCATTGGCGTAGTCTAAAATATTTCATGTACGAGATCCATCAGGTAAGAGGTAAAACAGAATGTAAGGTGACTTTTCCACAACCTTAGTAATGCATGAAATAATAATAGCTAGCAATACTTACCTGTGTGACAGAAATTAAGTTTTCAATTAATGAAGTATGAGTAACTAATTATTTAGCTTAAAACAATATAAAATGTTTACCTGAATAGCTAAGGTAATTTGATCGATTGAAGTGAAACTTTGACGATGCGATGAATTTACGATAGGTGCGGATAAAATCGGTAGTGGTGCATCGCTAGTTCGAATTCCATTCAGTATTGGACAAAACAGATTATTAATTAAATTGTGTGGTACAAATGGCGGTGCATCCAAATTCCAAATGAATTCTTCCCTGAAACTCTTTTATTGTTAATATGTTAATAATTATTGATTGTAAATGTTAAATTGATCATCCTTCATTTGCAGCAAATAATTTGCAAGGAACAAATTATAATATATTCTTGCCTGATTAATGCATTATTTGCTGCTACACTTGCTACTATCTGATCCAGCGCAGATGATTGCTCCGTTTGTTCACTTTCAAATGCTACGGAAGCGGTAGTTGTAGTTTGTGTAATTCCTGATTGTGATAAAACTACAGCTGTTGCTGCTTCTGTTTCGGATAATATCGTGTTCGATTCAGCAGGAGTGGATGTTGTCAACGTATCATCATCATTATCATTCTCTGATCTATCCGGAGACGTTGAATCTAAAGAAATGAATATTACGTTTCAATATGATTTTCACTGGAACACAACCGTTAATAATTGATTTACTAATTATTGATACCTGCTGATTCGCGACTCACTTCCTCAGCAGTTTGTGTATTGCTTAATATTATAGTCATTTCATTTTCCACGTCAATATTCCTCAGCGACATCCAAAAGTCTTCTAAATAAGTTAATGGTGTTTTTATTGCTATTTCAGATGACTGTCAAACGATTCGTTATAAATTTATTTAATCCAAAGCAAGAGAAAATAAAATTGTAAATTGCAAAAAAATCATTCATTACTATTATAAATAAAAAATACCTAATGGTTTAAAATTAAATACTTCGGCAACCGCTCTTTCTAATCGATCATCCAACCATGGTATCCAGGATTCTGAATCAGCTAGTGGTACTTCTGCGTTTTGCTCAGTGTCTTCCTTAGAAAACCCTGAAAATTTATTATTTAATCATAAACAATCTTTCATGTAAGGAAAAAGTTGTAAATAAAAACTTTACAACAAACAAACCTGGAGAGTCCTTGTGATTCCTTTGAGCCAATAAAAGCCCACGTTCATAACCAATTGGTTTAGGTAACTTTTTAAGTTTAGATGATATTTCCGTTTCTTGCATTTCAACCATTTTGAAATTTCCTATTTCTTCCATGGCTTATCTATCTAAATAATATATTTACAGTTTTCATTGTTTTTATTTAAATATAAAACAGCACTTTCATTTCCCGAAGAAATTACAACATATACTCTTGCAAATAAAGATTTCAAAAATGTCGGCAATGGGGTTAAGGGTGAACTAATTATTTAAATTACTATACTAATTAAAGGTCAAGAAAAAAAACTAATATTTAATTTTGAAGAATTCAGTTTTTTACTGCTTCATATGAAATATATGCAAGACAAAAGAGTGAAAATACAAAAATGCGTAGTTGAAATATTTGCTTCGAAATAAGGATGGAATGAATGCATTAAGTATGAAATGATATGACGTATTGTCGAACATTGCAAAGGATACTTTAGTCATCTAATCGTTAATTAAGCATTATCCCTGTTTGACCTTTACAGTGATGGAGGAGTATATGTGATGGTCGTTGAGAAATTACTAATTGTGAATATGCAGATGAAAAACTTAATTTGACAATGGAAAATATACGAAAGAAAGTGATAGATTTAGTTCTTATCTACACTAAATAAATTCACCAGGGTGCAAGAAAATGAACCAAAAAAGCAATTCGATGAGTTAATTGAAATAAACGGAAGTGTGAATAGAATTAATAGAATTGTTACACAATTGTCACAATTATCATTAAAAGAATCCATCCTAATACTTACTGATGATAAGAAATTATTTATTGAAAGGAAAAGTGTGCAAATAATAGAATAGGTATGATCCTTTTTGAAGCATTGTAATGAGAAATATGTGAAAATGAAAAATTCCTACATCATTCTCACATTTGCAGGAAGGAAGATAATCCGAGGCATCTAATTATGCTTCTATAAAAGATATACTTTACAAACAATAATCCAAATATTAGCCAATCGTAGCTTTTGAGAAAGAATTTTCTCATTCAAAATTGTTAATTGACAATTAAAATTGACTAGAAAATGAAATATAGTAAATTTCTGGAAATTTCTTTCAGTTTCATTTCCCTACCGTATGCCATACCTATTCATAGGGCAGATTTGATTGGCTGAAGGAAGTTAGAAATAGAAATTTTAATTTTTCATCCGGCAAAACCTCATCATCCTTACACAGCAGTTTTACTTCAACCTTTAAACGAAAGAATTGTAGAATGCGACCATACCTATAAATAAGAGAACAAAAATCGAACCGATAGGTATTTTGAACACGAGATCCCGCCCACTTGAGATAGTCGTGAGAGAAAAAAAACCTTAACCGCAAACAATTTTCAAATGAGATGTGCAATATAAATCCCATTTTTAAATTATTTCATAAAACAAATATATTGTTGAGTTAAAAATGAACATGGAAATGCTGTATGAATTCAAATTCAGTCTAAAAACTAAAAATAAAATTAAAATAATCAAAATAATTTTGAATCTGAAATCTAAATTTTGAAAATAAAGTTAAAATTAAAAAAAGGAAAATAAAATAATCTTATTGTCAATTTTGCATTAGAAAACATTATGGATTTCTATTGAATTTCAGGAGAATGTAAAAGAAATACAATTTGTCCTTTTCATTCCTACTGATATTTTGCTTTGAGACCTTTAACCCCAAGAAATGTAAAAAGCTTTTTAAATTTTTATGAGTTCAAAGTGAATTGTAGTGCGATTTTAATAAGATCGGTGTTACAAAAGTATAGATAAAATATATGTGATGAGCAAATAAAAATATTATGCTGATTTGCAAGAATTAATTTGAAATTAATTTAATCACCAAATATGCACTTCGCAATAATAAAACTTCGACAAAGTGAATGGAACATTATGTTCAAAACTTATTCAGTTTTTTATTAAATATCAATTTTAATTAACTTATCAGTTTTCACTTCTGAAAGATTTGTAGTCGGTTCAATCCTTAATTCTTCATTTGACCTCCCTAAGAGGTCATAGAGCAGTAGAGATCATAGAGACCTCCCTAAGAGGTCATAGAGCAGTAGAGATCATAGAGTTTCTTTTATTCGCACCTATCCTACGATTCATCGCATCGTCAAAGTTTCACTTCAATCGATCGAATTACCTTAGCTATTCAGGTAAACATTTTATATTGTTTTAAGCTAACATAAACATTCAAATAGTTAGTTACTCATACTTCATTAATTGAACACTTAATTTCTGTCAATTTCTGCGAATATTAAACAGTTTAATGTGAACAATAAAATTTCACGATGACAAATTGATGAACATTATCAATTTTAGAGTCGACTGTCAATTGTGCATGCTAAGCCATCACAATCACGAAATTTCCCACTTGTACAAAGAAGTGGAGATGGTATTGTCATGCCAGCTTGTTATAGTGGGCAATTTCAGCAAGTTGGTTCTTTTATGTAATCAATGCATTATCAAATTTTTATCTAGTAATGAAAAAATCAACGATAAATTTTGTTATATCATCTCTTACCTAAAACACAGATGATCTTGTACGTGAAATATTTTAGATTACGCCAATAGCAGCAACAACGAGTGATTCAATTGGAGGAAATGCGGCGATGAGTGCGATGCCAGCTTATTATACAACATCAGTTACACAGGTAACTATTGTAAGCTATTGTAATTTTTTCTTTTTTGGTAGTTATTGTTATTTTGTGCATTACTAGAGTTCTCGCCATGCCATATTTTTATTGCTAAGTCTATATTACGTGTAGTAGTGTTGAAAAATTACAACATATTATATTTGTATTATAATATTTTCCATTTTCCAGACGACGCTATATAATCAAGCAGGAACGATATACGGTGCAAGTGGAAACATTGGACAACCAAGTGGATACGGTATTCCGATGTCTGGTTATTATCAAATGCCGGTATGTTTTTCATCTACTCTAAATAAATATGCTTATATTGCCTGAAATTTCAATTCTCAACTATTACTTCGTCATACTTTTATTTTTTTTATATTTTATAATTTTTATTTTATATATTTATCAATTTAATTCATATATTTAGCAATTTAATCTTTGAAATGAATGTGACATTACAGAAACAATTAATTTCATTGTTTTTTTTTTTTTTTTCAAACGAAGGAAATTTATACATTAAATATGTATATATATTGTAGCAGGATCGGTCCACTGTAAATAGACAATATAGCTCTGGTATGTTTTATGGTCAACAACCAGTTGTTTATCCATCTGTTGCACAAGCAACTGCATATTCTTCATTCCCACGAACTCATGAACAGGTGAGGATTTTCTCTTGTTCGTTATGATGACCTTACGTAAACTTCACTTCTGTTTTCTATGGACTTTGTTCTTTCCTTTGAACTTTGTTGTTCTTAGATGTCAATCTGGTCTGTTTGGAATGAATGGTACGGTCAGTCAAGAAGTTATGTTTTACGCAACAATGATGAATATCCGCCTCATCAAACATAAGTCGCTGATATTTGTGATTAACTTTTTTCTATTGAATCTCAATTTTTAATGCTACAGTCAGTCAGTCAACAAATCAATTTTTATACAGTAGGGATGAATATTCGATTTATAAAACATAATACTTTTTTCAACAGTCTCTCAATTCCTTTCTTTCTTTCTTTGTTTCTTTTTTTTTTTCATCTATAAAAGTGGCAGCATTACTTGAACTTATCAATGTTTATATATGATCTTGATTGTATTTTTTATTGTTTCTAGATATGTGCGCAAAATTTGCACATAATTCACTACCATTTATTGTTTGTTGTTTATTTTTTTTTTCACGTGTACAATCGGGAACTGTACTATATTTTTCCACTGTTGCACTACTTTATTTATACTTGTATTTATTGACTTTATTTATACTTATATTTACTGCCGCTTAATAACTCATCATTTGCAATACATATTCAACATGTCGGTAAAGGATCTCGAAAGAAAATATAATTGTTTTTCACTACTTTATTACCTTATACTTGTATTTATTGATTGTATTACATTGATCTTTTTACAAATGAAGTTGCTGCCACTTAATCACTCGTTTGCAATACATATATTCGGTATGTCGGAATAAAAAAAATAACGAATGTTGGAGGTGGTGCAGGGGAACTCTTATCTTCTCCATCCCTGAAAGTTAGATATTTTTTGAAAAATTTATTGAATTGGAGCTGAAAACGAAAATTGCCGAATTTCTTTTCTACCGTATTCTCAATTCAAAAGCAACAGCGAGATATGCTGCATCCGCCATCATCTCAGCAATAAGCAAATCTGCTCAGTGCTGTAATTTTAGTTTCAATTTCGCTCTTTTGTATAGTTTCCAAATTCATAATTTGAATCTCAGCTCTTCTCCTACTTTTTATACTTTTTTAAAATTTAACTTATCATTCCTTTTCTCTTTCTATAATTCAACGATTCTGAACAATTGGTTTGCACCTAAAGCCTTTAAAGGAACTTTTATCACTGAATGAATAATTTGAACCGGAAAGAATCAAGCTTCTGGATCCAATTATTTTTCTAAATCATCGACTGCTGATAAAACTTTAGGCTATGAAGGAAAATTTAGCTTATTCTGAGTTTCACAATCTTGCCTGAGCTTATGGAATTAAACATGTGATTTCTGGTTGAATTTCAAGCGAAAAAAGCACAATTTGCAGCAAGTGACCAACTGGTCAGCTGTAAATGACTAACCACGGCAAAACGCTGATCATTCATGCAGCATATCCGCGATAACCAAGTTGAATTCTAGAGCACAATATTCCTCTTACAAATTACCAGAATTCCACAAGAAATTGAATGAAATTTTTATCTCGAAATATTCTCACAAATAATTCTTACTAATGAATTATCGAATGCATTAATTACCAAAACAACCTCTTCAAGTTCCGCAATTTCTGACTTCCAGTTTTTGATTTCAGTTAGCTAATATTAATTCACTCAATACCAAATTCCTTCATAAATCTGACAGTCTCAGTACTTTTTTGAATTTACACAGGAAGGAAAGAAAGTGAGCAACAGTCATTTGCAAGCAACGGTTCATACGAAGGCTAAACTCGACACGATGGCTTCTTGAAAGGTTAGCTGCTTTCGGATTTATTCATTTCTTGAATATTCGTTCTTCATTAATGCAAAAAATACGACCAGCAATGGAAGCAGCAATCAGTTGACAAAGCATATTATCGGCCAATTAACATAATTTAATTTAATGCAATTTTTGGAATGCTGAAATTAGTATTCCTAGTAAATTACTGAACTCAAAACTGGTTGGTGTAAAATGATCAGGCAGATGTCTCATAGTTATTCTTTCCTTCTTTTCTTCTATTTCATACTTTTTTTTGTCCTTTCTCTTCTTGCAGTAATCTCCATGATAATATTGTAATTAGTGCTTATGCTATTAGTAATATATTCCAGATGACCTTATTAAATTATTAACTTGTTGTCATTTTAGACATTTCAACTATACCACAGTAATCCATTCCAAACTGATATTTGAGGGAAATGTATGACAGTTATCTGAAATGACCGACTGGAAAAAGATCAGAGGAAATGAACACACCGAGAGATTGTTGAAACGTTCCTTCTGAGGTATCTTCAGAAATTGTCAATAGGATTTCACTGAATTGGAATGTTGGCATAGACCACTGCCGAATTAATTTAATAAATTCGAATTTTATTTTCAAAAAAATCTGTAAATTTCTTTATCAATTAAAAAATTCTCAAATCATTTATTTCTATCAATTGCTATAAGAGGAAAAAGAATTTTAAAAAAATAATTCATGATTTTAATTAGAGGTTGAAGTTCGCTGCCAAATTTAGATTGAATTACTACTCATTATACAAATTTACTACTTGGCATAAAATAGGATCTGATTTTTTTTTTTCTTTTTTTTTGGTCTGAAACCAATCTTTATTTTATTGAGACAAAATTATCATTCATCAAAGTTATCGAACAATATTTTTGGAGATGTTTGGAGAAGCAGTTGCAGGTGAGCAGTAATGCCAATTGCTAACTCAGACGAGGGATAACTCCTTACATAGTTACAGTAAGGAGAAGACATGACGCGAAGGAGGTTGGCTAAACGAAGAACTTAACTTCGCCAAATTCAAATATAATTTACAGTTAATGATAGGCTGTCAAACAACAGAAGAGGTCAACTAAATAAGGAACTGATAAATATAAACAATCTAATCAACAGGTATTCTTTGTTAACGATATGTAGCAATGCAAATAAGCTCAGCTAAATGATAATGAATATTGGATAAATGATTTCTTACATAGGATTGAAGCATTTATCAAAGGACACAATTTTATTTCTATATATTATAATTAGGTTTTTCTGACATTATTGAAATGGTAGAAAGCCAAAAGAATCATAGAAAAAAATTGATAAAAGAATCTTGCTCTCTTTATCATGTCTTAATCTTTGAAGTAACCTGGTTTTTCACGTTTTTCATTACTACTACTACTACGCTGCATTCTTTCATGCTGTCCCAAGCAACAGGTTTCACTCACACGTAACGTCATCCACTTCTGCACACAACAAGGATGACCCTTCTTCCACACCTCTACAGAACGAACAAGAGACCACTGATACAGCCTAATCCATGATGTCCAAACTATTTCAGATAATCACAACATGATGCATGCACTCTGCTATTAGCGACACTGGAAAGAAAACTTCCAAACTAGCACTGACTTTCTCTCTGTAGTAATACTGCTAAAAAACATTTATTAATTTTCTCAACTTACATAAACAACATAAAGTACGACATACACAAATGTTGTTCACAGAATACAAACTTTTGCAAAGAAAGAAAAGCAGTCATACACAACATGTGCTATAAAACATGCCGCTACTTCAATACTTTAAAAAGCAATTGAACTGCTAAGTTTCCATATAGTCTTTGAAGATAATTGAAAAGGAAGAATTAATGCCGAAATGAGATGAAGACATACAAATGTCAGTCATCCAATAGGGACTTAAATGACAACAGTATTGCAAAAATATGACCAAGCATTTAACAATATTTACTTCGAATACAATTGTAAAGGTCATAAATTATAGAATAAAATAAAGTAATTCAAGTCATGTACATCGTAACAAAATGTTGTCACTTTGAATATCAGAGATATTACAGATACAAGATATTATGCAGGGAAATAGTAAAACAGTCAATCGGGTGAGAAACTCAACCTGACTTTGTAAAAAGGAATGAGTGCAAAGATTTAGCTGAATTTGAGCATGTTAAACGTGCTCAGACTGGACGGAGAAAAAAAAAAACTATTATTACAATATCATGCATAATAAATAAATAAACGACAAGATACGACTTGTCGCAATAACTTTTATAAGTGTACATGCAAATGCCCAGCTTTCGCTGACTGGCATTTAATATCATGGAAACTGCTTGTTAGTTGGAGCTGCAACATTTCCACCTTGTTGACATTCTTTGCGTTCTGCAAGTTCGCATTATCATCACCTTATTATTATCACAATACGGAATTCTACTTCAATATAAGTATGACTGCATACTGGGAAATGCTATTTCTAAACCGATTCGTACATCTGCTTTTTCGGACTATTCAGCGCATAATGAGAATAGCTCATCACGAAAGCTTTGTGAAACAGTGAGCAAATGGGTAACAACAGCCCATCAAGAAAGTGCTTACCGTACTGTTGCAGATTAACTTGACCAAGTTGACTTGAAAGTGACACGACCGACTTCATTGGGCTACGTCGAGGGGTGCTTGTAGAACGAATCTAAAATTGTAACATAACTAGCATTCTTCATTAATTCAAAACTTCCTCCATAACTGAAAAAATTCCTTCAAAGTATCTAAAATGAAAACTCAAAAGTAGACGCACTTCGACTGGATTTTGCCAACCACCAATCATGCTTTCCTCATAGAAACATGGTTGTGGAGTTTGTGGTGTTATCGGCTGCGGCACCAACTGAATCGGATTTGGTGCAGGAATTGCCATCGCAGCAGTTTGTCCGTTCCCATCAATCTGTTGCATTTTTCTCTTTTTAAAACATTATATGCTATATAAATTGTATTTTACAATCAAGCATTACTACCGTAAATTGTTATTACTCCCATTATTCGCCATTTTCCGATGATTGCAATATTCCTTCCACTTTTATAAATACAACTTATTTCTTAGCTTTTACTGTTTCTAGCAAATATTAATAAGCAATGTGAATAATTCAGGACCTTAAATATGCAATGCTGAAGAGGGAACATAACGTAACCTTTAAAAGAGGAAGATTAAATATCAAAACAAATAACACAAACAGTTTGATATCCACCAGGAGCAAGGAAATATGTTGGAGCTGTCATTTGAGAGTAATGAGTCATATCGTTAGCAGGCGCAGCTGGAGCATAATAGGCAGCTGCTGGTGGGAAGAGCGCTGCACGCTGTGTAGCAACCGACGGTGTCATCTGAAACAAATGGACAAGAAAC